CCAATAGTTCCCACTGAAAAAATAAAATATATAATTTTAAAAAGGTGAAATTCACGAGGTAACAAAAATTGAAAACCCTGAAATCGAACACGCATTTTCATTCTCAAGTTTACAACGTCTCGAACAATGCAATTACTGTATTTACTCGAGTACCACGCATCCTCAAGTAAGGCGCGCACCAGTGGTTTTTAGTCAACATTTTTTAATAGATTTCTATCCCCCCAGTAAGACACGCAAACCATCTTCAGCGACTCTAAAACTGCAAGTTTTCAAAAGTAATTGCACCAAACTTCGGATTTAAACATGATTTGATCCTGAATTCAACTAATTTTCAATCATTTCCATTACAGTACATCAAGTTCATCAATTGAAATCGGTCCGAAATTTTCCATCATAAAATCAAATACTGCATGATGCACACCTAAATTTCTAGAACGTTTAAAAAAGGTATACCCGTCTATGAAGCGCAGATGTCGCGCACCCTCTTTTTCCCTCTCGAATTTGAGAAAAGAAGTGCTCGAGTACATACGGTAAGTCTAATCCTGAGAAAACTAACGAATATTTTCGTAACTGAACACTATGTCCGCAACGCTGGAGGTTTCCTCTGCTAGGAAGTATGTGTCGCCTGAATTTTGTTAGATGCATATCATGTAATTTTGAATGCTGAAAATCTGCAAACCAGAACGAATATCGTTATCAATGCTACACTAAATCCAAGAACCCGAGGATTTTTTTTAGATAGCATTCATTTGGGTCTAGATTTGCTCCTTTCCGAAGTGGAAATTACTAAAAATACGGGGAAAAGTTCGTTTTCAACCACAGACCCCATGTCCATCAACTCTGGTTTTTTGTTTGTTTGGATTGTACACGTATCTTGAAGTTTACCGAACATGTGGTTAGGTCCAGTTAACGTAGATTTTCTTCTTTGCGAACATCACGCTAAATTACTCTCCTTCAGCTGGGTCAAGTGAAGTTAGTTTCATCAAACACCATTGGTAATTCAGGCGACACTTCAGAAAGCAAGGTACTGTATAGTTATCAGGTGAGAGAAACCATAACACCTTCAAGCAGATAAGTTTACGTCATTTATTATAAAAATTGACAAATTTCAATTTTCATAATTTTTTTGAAGCTCAACAAATACATCATATCCTCATAACTCCATTATGATACTGCATATGACGTAACTTGCACACCTCGCATTATTCTACCGAATCGCAGCAGAAAAGGTGAGAATTGAAAAGTAAGGTTTCGGAGAAAAAAAAGCAAGGAATTACTGTACTCACTTCTTTGGAAATTTCCGGTGGTACTTGAACTGACGCACTTTCCGGGTCAGATCTCGTGGCGTCTACATTTTCTTCGAATTCGGTGATTCCTGTTCCTTCGAAATAGTCTATTTCTCCGACTGCTTCTCGTGGTTGACACTGGAAGACGATATTTATAAGAAATAAAATAAAATAAACCATTGCATATTAAATGAATCGCGCTGATGTTGATACCTGGTTGTAAGTTTGAAACGTTTCTACAACATCCCTTCCGTCTTCGATTTCTTTCTTCGCGACATTTTCAATTACCGTTGACGACATCGGTTCTGTTCCAGACATTAGGTAAAAGTCACATGCGATGTTTTCTGGGGTCATCATCGAGGTATTTCCGGTTCCCTAACAATCGAAAGCAATTAGAAAATGACAACGATCGAATTCATTACAGACTTTACGGGTAGGGTCTCTAACTCTTTTTAGCAGTATTATCCACAGAACATTTTATTTCTGCTTCACACAGAGCTTTTACAGTGATATAATATGGAATAACTCCTCTGAAACAAATTTTCCTAATTAAAAAAAAATCGATTTTTGGCCCATCCACCAATTTGTGTAACTCTCGGGGGAACGCACAGCAATTGCGACTTTCGCATAAAGAGAACCTCAAAAAGATCTCAGGTTCGTGGACGTTTCTTCAGAACAAAGAATGTGAAGACAAACACTACTGTACCTCCATCGGCAAATTGGAAAACGGAGCAGCAGTTGGCTTGATCGAAGCGGGCATCGGAGAAGATTCACTGATCAGTTCAGCATTCATTCGCAATCTCTTCGCAGGCATCGGCGATTCTTCAACTGTAGAATCTTTGTAGGACAACAAACTGTAACTCCCGTGTGGCTTAGCTGCCTTCTCTTCATTCTGCGTCTTGAGGTTCCTCGACTGAATCCCACGAATCTCTAGCTTTTCAGCAACATTAACAAACTGTTCAAGCTCTTCGCTTGGCACAGACGTCTCTCCATTGTAGACGAATTCCAAGATGAGTGAC